ATTTTTAATACAGGAAGAGTGTTTTAAACCAATTGGGCTCGCTAAAAATAAGTCTATAAGATTGAAAGTTGTGTACCAGTTATAGCTCAGACTTCAGACTAGCACATGAACAGGCCTTAAAGGGACAGGTTACCCATTGGTTACTCTTTTAGGTTTAGTTTCACTTCAAACTTAAAAGTATTACAGAGTACTACAACGAACTATTCTGAATCTAGCTAGTCTTATGACAATCTAGGTTGGCCCTTTTTACAGGGCCCAATCAGTCCAGATTACTCGCAACTTAGAGGTATTATTTGTGAGATATAAAATATTCCAAAGTTGCGAGTAATTTGGACCATAGGTAGTATTTTGTTTTTACGGGACCTTATACTTATACTTAATTAAAACGCACTCCCTCCAATTTTTTTTATGGAGCCTTTTTTTTTTTTAAAAGTATCCCATTTTCATACTTGGATATGGCTAGGAACAAAAAAAATATGAAAAAGCTAGGGAGATAGATTTAAATAGAGGCCACAAGGTATAATATGAAAGGAAAAAATGTTACATGTATAAAATAATAAAAGGATCAAATGGAAGAGAGAGAAATAATACAGTAATGTGAATAGGGTTTCTAAATTTAGTGATAAGACACTTAAATAAAAATAGAGGGAGCATGGTAGTAGTTCCCCTCAAAAAAAAAAGAAAGGAGTATAGTAATAGTAAATTGGCTTATCTCATCATTTTTAACATTTTTAATTTGACTTAATTTATTCAGAAAATAGTGTTAATAAGATGAACAAAACATGACCTTAATATCAAAAATAGAAAATAATTTTTTATTTTGGATAAAATATACGCTTACTACTGTTAGTGGACCATCTCAACCAAAAGGTTAAACTGATGGTTGAGCCCTAGGAATATGTTTTATACTCTATCAACTACTCAGTATTTTTTTATACTTGCAACCCACCTTTTTGACACAATATTTGAAGAAGTGATTATATTAAGTAATTAGACGAATTAAGCTAGCCGAGTATAAAATTTGAAGAGTGACCTCATCACTTTCTTCTTATTGTAAATTATGTCAATTAATTTGTCCATTTATCTGGTCTTCTTCCTAAATTATGTCAATTAATTTGTCCATTTATCTGGTCTTCTTCCTTAAAGCACGTACTAAAATGGTGTGTTGCAACTTGCAACTAAAAAAAAAAAAAAAAAACAGAAGAAGTCCTTGATACTCGTATAACGTTAACATGCTTATTTCCAAAGAGAAATTAATACTGATAACAAGGCATAGGGACCAAACAGTAAGAGAGCGTACGTGGCAATCATATTCAACAACTTGGCAATTGCATTTTTCGCAGTGAAATGAAGTAACAATGACAGAGATGGGGAATCCTAAGCTGTGTATCTCTTTAATTTCTACCAAGTACGAGTATACAAATTATAATCAACCATTTATTTATTACTCCACAGACCACAACCAGTTGTTATATATGCGGAGTGTTTTATTTGGATATGTACACTACGCATTGAAAGCTTTTACATCCAATGTTTTAAATCAAACATTTCAATCCTACCTAATAGTCATAGCAGTAATTCATTACCAACAGTTAACTCAAGTTTGGCCTTTAACTAAAACTAGCACAATGCCAAATTGTTGTAATTTATGGGTATAGCTTTGGTCCTTCGGAAGATGATTAGGATTATCGAGTAAATCATATTTCTTTAACATCGGAAAATAGAATGAAATTGAGTCTGATTGCACATGGGAGAATGAATCAGAAGGTTCACTTGAACCATAGAAAGAACAGTTAACTGGTAATACAATATTGATATTAAAAAAGAAAGGAACTAAACAACCACAATTCATACGGAATACTCCGTAATCAACATTGATCCATTATCCAACCTTACGCGGTATCCCAAAGACGATCTTCAACCTTAAAATCTAATTTTAAAATTTAAAAAAAAAAAAAAAAAAAAGGCCTAATTAATCCTAAATCTAATTAAGGATTAAAGTAATTGGTTAAATCAGAGGGTAAGATTGAGGTCCAATCTGGGACTTGAATATTTATAGTGATCAGCGGCGGTGATCTCACCATCATCGTCATCATTGACGTCATCCATCTTCCTCTTCTTGTTCAAATTGATGATATTATAATCATGAAATTTGGATTTATCTGGATGAGGTTGCAGAAAATCAATTGCAGATTTTTGAGAAGAAATGACCACCTGATCTCGATCACTCTCCTGATGATGTCGAAAATCCTCCCATTTGAAGTAAGGCATCCAGGTCGTCTGAGTATCTGTACCAGATCCTTTACAATTATAATTTAAATTCACATCATTCTTCTTCTTCGTCTCATTATTATTATTATAATTGCCATTTAATTGAGGTTGATTTTGATGACGATTTCGCGCTTCATTGAATCTTCTAATCAATTCGTAAAACTTGTCCATCTTCTTTTCTTCTTCATCGTCGTATTCAAATTCCTCTGCTGCTGCTGTTGATGTTGCTCTTTCCTTCTCCATTTCTGATTTTTGAGAATACCAAACTTTGTTTTGGGTTTTCAAAAAAGGATTTTTGTTAGACTTCCACAAAGACGATTCTGGGGTGGTCTTTATAAATAGTTGTAAGGAGGAGTTCTTGTTTTTATACTACGGGGTATTTTGGTTTCGGTCAACCTAAAAGAATATTGAATACTACCTGTAACTTGTGGAAGACTAGTAGGTGGGTCCGTAAGGGTGGTAATTAGGTCGATTGGATTATCTCCAAACAATTTCAATTCTTAGGAATTTCAAATTTTCATGTCTTTATTTGTCAACCAAATAACGTCTAAATTTACGTCAAACATCATGTAGCTTCAATTGGGTTTTACCTCGTTTAAGTTCATTTTATTATCATGTTTGTAGAAAAAAAATTAAAAAGCGAGGGATGGGAATAAGATGTTAAGGATTGATGAATTCTAATTTCTAGCTAATGTTTGTTTAAGGGATGATGATATGGATAAAACAATTCGTCTTCTGCGCGAACTTCTCGTTTTTCCTTAAACGGGGTCTTTTTTTTTTCTTTTTGACTCGTGATCGGTTGATCCAATCATGATATTGAAGGATGAGACCTTTTCTTGAAAAAATATGTATCAAGAATAGGCATTCTTTTTCATCTTTGTACCGGGTATATTGAACAACAACCCAATCTCGATCAAATTAAGAGTGAATCGATCAAATCATTCCAATCGGATACCATTGATCGTCACCTTGTTCCTACCTACAACAAATGGATCCATCGAGCGAAGTCTTGGTTCCTTATCCCTTCATTTTTATACTTAGGGGATGGTATTTTAAAGAAAAAACGGAATAAAAACAACCACCTCATCCAAACATTGTGTTTGGATAAAGAGAGGAAAAGAGGAAGTATGAGGGGAGGAGAAGGGATGGAAGGGAAGAGAAAGGAAAGCTAGGAAATAATGATGAATTTTCCTTTTAAATCTCTCTATAGATAACTTTTCTACAACTTAGAGCTTAATCTCTTCAGATTATTTTTTGTTCGGTTCAGCTCTAATAAGTTCAGTTCTTAATTTCCTTCTCTCATAAAATATTCATTTCAGTTCTATTCAGTTCAGCTCCAATAAGTTCAGTTCAGTCAATCAGAAAAGACCCTTAATCCCTTCATATATCTTCCCTTCAATCCTTTTTCTTCCTTATTTGTTATCCAAAAGAATAATATTTAACCCTTTTCATTTATTTTCCCTTCGCTTATCTTTATTTCCTTCAATCTAAATATGTTTTTTATACTCTATCAAAATTAATGAAATAGAAAGAGTAAGGCGATAATAAGAAAGTTAAGGTTTGTTTACTTCAACTTAATTTTAGTTCAGTTTAGCTCCGATTAGTTCAGTTTAGTTCAATAAATGTGAATAGACCCTTAATAAGGGTAAATTACTGTTGTATCACTTACCTCAAGGTTAGTTTCAATACATATCAAATACAAGATAATAATAATTATTATATTTATTACAGTATTATTATTCCATCAATTAATTTATTACCCTTATTCTACCTTTTTATACCTATCTCTCATGTCATATACGTGTGAATTACTCCAATATTTAAAACTGAATTGATGGTACAATAAAATCTTATTAAGTACAGTACAACAAAGCCGAAAATATTATTGGGCTATAGCCTAGGGTCCTAGGCCTATAGCCAAGTTCCAAAATACAGCAATCACTTGAGTACAATTGAATCGTTCACAAATTAAATCACACAATAATTAACCTCATACATCTATGTAGTTTTAAAAATAGAAATAAAAAATGTATTCCGTACTTTATAAAAAATGCTCCTTCATCTGTACATGAATGAAGTACATAAGTATGTTATTTACTTTAATTTATTTTATTCGTTTGATAAGTTTTTTGCTTTAGACGGTTCTGTAGGTGACGTGGTATACAACAAGAATAATGACGTCAGGTAGAGCGAGAGGATGATCACAAAGAGTGAATCATTAAAAAGAAAAATCAGTATTGGTAGAGAGGCAAGCGGCAGAGGTTAGGTGAGATGGGCCTGGACAGTGTGCAAATGGGCCATTTGTAGTTGGTAAATTTCTGTCTCTGTCCCCTCTTGTATATGCCTATTTGGCTATTTTTAATAACAGTCATTTTTTTGTTTGACCTTCCTAATTCTATCTCTCTCTGTTTGGTGGGCCTCCACCTCCTTTTTCTAATACGAGTATCGCATTTTCACCCCACACTTGCCAACTTACCAATCAATTTGATCACCACATTTTCAAAAGTTGCTTTCATTACACTTCTTATTACCAGTAGAATATTTAAATTATCACCGATAGATAATAATTAGTTACGGCAAGATAAGTATGACGCGTGAAATGGCTTTTTTTGTGATATTCGTGATTTTGTTTAGGTGGCGTAGTTATAGAGGGAATGCAATAATATATGTTGGAATTGTTTAGAATTCAAATGGCAGAAGTAAGATGTTTAAAAGAGGGAAAATAGTGATTATATAATCATGTGCTTTGTACTTTAGTTTCCAAAGACTTCTAATTGACTTGGCAAATGTGTATTAGCTAAAACATTGATTGTCAAGTTCTACTTAATAGGGTGTCTAAGACACTATCGTTACTACAGGCCAGTCCTTATTACATAGTTTCAGTACTCTATATACATATCTGATGTTTATAGGGAACATACGATGCCCAAAATGTTCCTTCTAAACATCCAAAAGCTTTTCAAACTTAGCAAACTACCTTATAATAGAGATTCATTAGTACTAATATTCTTTTAGCAAACGCTGCTTAGTATCTATATATTTTTAGCTGGTTTCATTCATAAATTTTTGAGGATGCTTTCAGATTACCCTTTGTTTTCAGAAATTTCTTTCTCAGCAGCTTCCTTGAACAGTGCTGTTCGGAGCTTCTTCCTAGGAACATGATCTTCATCATCTGAATCCTGCATCTCATCAGCAGACATTGGCTCCTTATTCTTGACACTGCTTCGTGTGCGAGTAAGCTTGTTCCATGTAGGAAGTTCAGTGACTGAAGTTGGTGGCTCTGAAATTGTAAGTCCTTTATTTGGTTGCTGAATTGAAATATCAAAGCAATCTGTGTCAAATGCTTCAGAAGCTAGCCTGAATTCATGAAGCTGGGCTATTTCAGCAAGAACCTCATCGCTTGTTTCTGTATTGTCCTGACTATAATTAGCATTGCTATCTAGTCTAGAAGCAGCAATTGCTTTTCCATGAGCCTTAGTTGTGCTTGGTGAGATGTTGAAGTCTTTCTTGCTATGAGCCGCAGCCTCACTCATGAATGCCTGGTCTGTCCTGTGTGCCTTATCAGGTGTAAAGGGAGTCTGATCCTTGTTAAGATTAGCAGATGATGAACCTAGGACTTGAGTCTCTGGCTGTGCATCTTCTACCTCAATGGCTTTCAAAGTCCATAACAGAACACTATTCCTCGCTAACTCCAGAGTCGGAGTTACCTGAATGAAGAAAGGCTTTGTCGATAGTGTTTCTTGTACAGCCTTGAATGTTTCCAAATTCCCCTACAATTGTGAAGTTGTCACATAAGAAGCAAGCGCAGCATAATGAATATGTATACTGCCATATAGATTGTGTAAAAGTAAATACTACTTTGTTAAGTGGTTTTTGTGTTGGTTGAATGTAAAAGGAGATAGGTAAATCAGCTAAGTTGTATACAATTTGAGCTGTAGCGTTTACCAAGGACCATGCAGTAAACATCATAACTAATCACAACTTATTTAAGACTGTTGTATCAGTTAATTTTGGGCAGATATATCATAAATAATTTCTTGAAAGTGGATCAATAGTTATTGAGAGCAGCACAGTTCAAGGATAGGAATAAGGTAAAAAAAAAAAAACTGACTTGCATCATTACTATTAGCAAAGTTTTATTATTACAGCAATTATAGTGTTTGGAAAACCATTTAGACTCAGCTGCATTATAGTAGTTCAGATAAGAATAGACAGAGTTGAAATAAACTTGGAAAGACCGGAAGAGGATATCAGTGGTATTGATACTTACAGTGGTTTTCATGTTCCAGATTTCAGATGCTGTCATACGGAAAAGCTTTTCTGTATCATCACTAAAGGTTGTAAATGACATCATTCCACTGTCATCGACAGCCTCAAACTCGAAAGTAACTCTGCAAGAACACACATTATAATGAAATGAAGTTTTATAATACATTTATAATATCAAGCATAACATATGTATTGTTTTAGAATTATACCTAATGCATGCAGAATATACTAAAAGGGAAAAAAGCAGTAAAATAAATGCAGTAAGATGAGATATTCCAGAATCTAGTGTGAGAATGTGAGCTTAGAATGAGAAGCCAAAAACCTAAATATGAGTCAGAATATATAAAATTATGTAATTGCAAATATAAGTTATATCATAACAAAGAAACAAGAATTATGTAAGTCAAAGGTTTGTTAAGAAGTTTTTTTTTTCATAGAAAATCAGGTAAGAATTCCATGGATAGTAACCACTCTTGATGCTAAGATAACAAAAAGAATTTCAGAAAAAGAAGGAGAATATACCATGCTAAGGAATGAAAATGCAGGAAATTTTTTGCTGCTCTAAAAAGTAGAAGCTAATTTGGTATTTATAGCCAACGTTTGGGAGCAAGGTTACCTTCCTGTTTTCAGATATTCACTGTTCAAAAAGTAAATTACTGTTGCTTTCTCTATTTGGTTACAGCTAGAAACTGAGCAATTCTTTCCTTATGTAATAAGCAAAAAGTAAGTTTTTATGGTTAATATAAAATTCAATTCTTGGTTAATGCAAAATATCAGTTTTTTTTTGTGGCTTAAATAGAAGCAAAGTACAATTCACATATTTAATTAATAAGTTTACCATGAATAGTAGCATTGACTTGTACTTTGTTACTCTTTTCTATGAAGTGAGTTGTACTTTAATTTAAACCTTAGTAGTTGTATATTTTCATGCAAGAGTTTTAACATTGCTGTTGTTAGTTTGGGCTGGGCTCAACAAAGCCATTCATATTTTATTTTAATGACAAACACAGCCCAAATTAAGCGCCAAAGAATACAGCTATTATTGTTAGGTGCTAAAATATACTATAGTATCTGTTGCATATTATTTGTAACTGCACGCATTACATGTTAGGCGGGCGCAAAATACACTACAAGTGCAACTAACGTATAATGTATATGGAAGCATAATTATATACCTAATAATATATGATCGACTGATATGCAAAACTTTATGTATTAGTTCCGGAAAGTCGATCATACTCTATTCCAGTCTATATTCTTTACTTATCGAGTTACTGGAGTGGTATGACATACACAAGTAAGAAAGTCTTACATTGACCTGCTGCACAGAACATGCTACATCCGAAGCCTCTATCACCCAAGTGAAATAAAATGCACTTGTTACTACAGGAATAAATAAAAGGAGAAGATCAGCACTAATGACCATAATACGAAAAACATTAATTTTGATCTTGAGATACTACTATATTATGCAATTTTATAAGCACATATAAGTATTCAAGAAAACGGATTTAAAACCATTGTCGTGCAAGAAAGTAAACTACCTTTTGAGGTTATGCTAATTGCATCAATAAACTGGTGAAAAGGGGATAGTCCCACGACATTTGTCTTCATACCTTGAACCACATTGGTAGCATCACATTCCATATGAACCTTTGAGTAGCCCATCCTCAGTGCGATTTGTACACCAAACCAGCAAGCAGTCGTTTCTGCCACAATAGCAGTCCACCTCGCAGCTTCAGCATGTACCGCTGCCACCAAAATATTACCCAAATGGTCCCTGGAAACCACACCAAATCCCGTTACATTACCAATGTGGGTATCACAATTAATTTTAATCACATCTTCTTGCGGGCAACTCCAAGATTTTATTGAAGCAAAAGACTGACATTGGATTGGTTCTGCGATCCTCACAGCATACTCCTCATAATCATGAACCATCTTCATAAACCCAAAGGCAAGGAAAACCGAGCTCACATGTGAATTTTCAAAGTTTTTCAGATTTCTCCCACGCTACGCAGCCCACGCCAAATAAGAGAACTCCATTAGTTCAGTCTTAGAAATCTGTGATGCTACCCACATCCATCTATTAGCAAAAGAAGCAGGGGAATTTAAACTATACAATAAAATAATTAGTACCTTATGTATAAAATAGCTATAGCCTGATCATACAACACCAAAGCTTCTTCATATTTACCCTGCTTGTACTTGTCATTTCCCAAGGATTTTAACTCCTCAGGATCCAATTTACTGAGTGAACTCTGAAATCGCGGTTCATCAGTACTGTTTCTCCTTAGTATATATCCCATGGTAACATTATTAATTTCCAAAGTCTTATTGACAATGGTGTTACTGTTAGGAGTAACACACTTCTGTTTCAGGCTATTGATTTGTGGCAACTGCAGTATGTTCCCTGAAGGAGCTCGTGGAGTTCCAGCCTCGCTTTGATCACCTGACGACTGTCGTTCCTGAATTCTGTTAGCAGAAGAGGAGGAAGATGATGTTGTGGAGATTCTTGCAGCATCAGAAAGTCTCCTACTCTTATTATGATTATGTGAAACCGAACACCTCGGACTTGCCACATTAGACTTTACAGTTGGAGTAACTGATTTTTCTGTTACAACTTTTTCAGGTCTGCATTTAACAGCAGCAGCAGCAGCAGAAGTCTCAACATGCTTACCCAAAACAAAAATAAAGATTTTGTTAACTCCCAATTCTTGAGAGTTGAGACCTACCATCCATCAGCTCGCAACATATAAAGAGGACTAACCGACTAAGCCAATCAAATCAAATCAAATCATATAACATAGGAATGAGCAAAAGAGGTCAAGCAAGACTATTCTACATAATTGCAGCATGTATATGGATAGCAATGTATAGAGAAGAGTAGCCACAGATATAGCAGCAAGACATGGAATTTTTCTTAATTCTAGAAATTTGAACTTCACTTCAAGTTGCTAAGGAAGGGAATATGTGAATCATAGGGCTGTAGACACTTCTCAAAGACAACACCGCTCTGCAAAACATATTTTCTGTAACAGTAAGAATACAGTAATTTTGAGTAAACACACACAATACTCAACCACCAAGAACAAAAGCTGTTAAAGGCTAACAATTTGGTCAACTTGATACTTTGATAGTGAAGCAGTTAATCCTAAAGTAAGCTCACCATAATATTAACGATAATTTCTTGAAACACACAAATAATCCAAGAATTTTAGTATAGTCTAATCTATAATTCAAAGGAACAGAACAGACTATATTGGAATTCCAGTGAAGATTGCAAAATCCTGAAATTAAACTTTTTCAGACAAAACCAAATGATTAAAATAAGAGTAACAAGACGTTCAGAAGTCTGCACCTCCACACCACTCTTAGACAGATCATTCAAAGCAGTCTTGCGCTTATTTGAAAGAGTCGGTGGAAGAGCTAGAGCTGGAATCTGGTTTGCTTCAGCAGTTGGTGTGATACATTCAGCGTTCACCAAACAATTAGCAGGTTCAGGTTGGCTAGGACTTCTTTCCAAGCACTCAATATGACCTTTCAAAAGCAAATACTTCCCTCACTAAGAAACACTCTTCACTGATCTTCACAGCTGCACCATAGTTAGCATCTACTATCTCTAGGTTAAACACAGAAGCTATGAAGAAGCATGCTTTCTTTGCAACTCTTTGCTCAGCAATGGTTGTTTCAGGGCAAGGGTCACTAAAAATGCACTCCATGGGAATATTATTAGGAGGGCAGGTAACCATTAGCCAAGACATATAACCATGACCTTCTAACTTAGTAGTCTCAATGGCAGTCACAGTAACACCGGTCTTTCTCACTAAAACCCCCAAAAACGCTGCAAAATCAACCGAGACATGAGCATCATTAAATGCCACACCCTCTCTTGTGCTGCACTCTGACCGAAAAGCGAGTCAAGTCTTCTCTGTCCTGCACTAATTCAGCGCATCGATTCTTATACAACTTGACACACAAACGATACATCTTAATGCGCTCATATGTGAAATCAGACACCCAAACACTAAACCGACATATCAATCTCTTCACAGCCTTATGAGCCGCTCTCTCACGAGATTCTTCAACTGAACTGGCATCTCCACCATAGAAGATGAACCGTGCACGGGAGTTTGGCCTATTAACCCGTACAAAGACATTGTTCTTATCGGCATCTATGAATCCATACACTGGAGATGGAAAATGCAGCCAAGCAACAACCTTTTCCAAAAGAGGCTGAAAAGGGACAAAGACTTTGTTTAAACGTCTAGCCATAACCTGTAATGGCAAAATCGATGTTCAGGACAGAGTATTCAGAACACAGGGTTTCACCTCCCAAGGAACACCACTAAAGTCTAGCTATACCAAGTAACAAAATCCACAGTAATTCGAAATCTAAACAAAGCACGTAATCACAAAGCAAAGCATAGCAGCAGCTCATATAGCACATGGAAAGTAAATACATATCAACCGAAGATCAAACCCATACACACTACCACTAACAATTTCGGATGCACGCTAAAGAAAGACATTTCCATATAAGGCATCATAAACTTTGAAAAGAATGGAATGAACATGTGAGAAGCATGCTAATTACTACAAAGCACAACTTAGTAGCAATCCATAAAGCACATGAAAGGTAGATACACATCGAAAGAACACTGAACTCATACACACTACTACTAACAATTTCAGATGCACACTAAAGCAAGACACTTCCATATAACAAGGTATTATAAACTTGTAAAACCAAGGAATGAACATGTGAAAAGCATGCTAATTACTACACAACACCTACTACACAAAAGGAATCATAGAAATTACCTTAACAGATTTTCTAACAACACCACAACAGGGAAAACTCCAACAGCACCGGCACGAACAATGCTACCAGCAAAACTGTAACCCCAAGAAGAAATAAGTTCACATACATAAATCCATCTATCTACCTGCTGTACTCACCATTGTAAGAAATAAGCAGACATTTTTCAGAGCCAATTGACCAAGGAAAATTATGTGCAAAGGCAGTTGACAAACTCACTAAATCAAATCGACAATAGCATTCATTATTTACACTACAATTACCACACAGAATGGATTTGAACTAATTAAAATTTCAAAGGCTATTTTTAGAATAGCTGTCAAAACTGTGCAGGTAAAATATACTTTCGAATGCTGTACAGAAGAACAGGTCCAAATGGATATAAAGCATATATACAAACACAAGAACGAACTAACGAATCATGCAAATAAATTACTCAATTATCTGAACCTTAGACATAGCTGGATAAATAAATACATTTATGTAGCAACCAATAAGAGCAGAACCCATTCACCCAAAAACACCCTTAAATTTACCAAATTCAATGTAGATCCAAACACAAAACAAAATATCTTCCCATAGAACAGATGAATTTAAATTACTCTTAAACAAGCTTGATTTAATAGCAAGTTATTAATTTTAAGTTCAATTTGTCAGGCAATTCGAAATATGTAGTCCAAAATACACATGCAAGATTGTACAATAGACAATCTAATGCCATTTAAAGGAAAGCACCAGCTCTCAAACGAATACCTCTGCAGAGCTAACTCAGATCACTCACAACCAGAGAGAATTCACCACTGAAGCTGCTATACCCCAGAACGAACCCCCATTACTCTATATATAGGCTATGGTAAAAAAGGGCACCCATTCATAATAACCCTACAAATATGCGACAAACAAAGTACACCTAAGTCATCCCCAAGTCTTTGTTATATTCCTAAAAAAGAGCACTGCAGTTCGCCCAAGTAAGCTACTCCAATCCAAACACATCCAAAGCTAATCGCAATCCTAAACATCCTAATCCAAACACATCCAAAGCTAATCGCAATCCTAAACATCCTAATTCAGAAAGGGATGCATCGAAGCTAACATGCAATGTAATATAACAAACCAAACTTCAAACTGGAAACCAGAAAAAGCTTAAAAAGTCAAATAAACATACCACCCATTCTTAGGCAAGCACCCAAACGAAAGCATCTTTCTTCCACACCTCATCATCCAACCCAGAGCGTGCCAAAACCACAGCAACACAAAATACCCCAGCCAAGGCCAAACCAAATTCACGAGAAGCACCCGAATCCCCAGCTGTCACTGCAACAAAAGCCACTAAGAACAGCTGGCCTTTCCAATTCAGATGGCAAAATCCAAGTGCCTAAACAAGGGAAAAGTTGGCAATTCCTTAAAATTAAGGGCAGCTATGTCATAATACCAAAAAATACTATTCATAAGGAATAGTAGCAAATTTTGCACTTTTATAATGGTTAAGGATTACGTGATACACATTTAAGATGCCACCGGATGGCCAACCCACCATCAGTCCATCACAAATATGTGTAGTCTTGGCTGGTAGGTTATGCTTGGATACACTTTAAAAAAATTTCCGTTGAATACTGTCGTTAAACACTATGTAAGTATGTAACATGACATATTATCAAAGACAATTGAAATTTGATTGTTGTATACACATTAAGTTGCTTGTTTGATCACATTTCAAATCTAGAAAACTATCATAATATACAACCTGACATCACAACATGTTACAATGTAAAAATTAATTGAAATTGATCTATCAATCTATCATACACATGAAAATAGCATAATCAAACTTGTGTTGCCCAATTCTCTCAATAAGAATTTGAATTTGAAAAAATAGCATAATCAAAATTTATTGATTTGTAGCGTAATTGTTTGAATTGGAAAACTGTTTTTGAAGACTCGGTTTTCAGTATACGACATTCCTCAATTTTATTTATAGTCTTGTAATTTAATTTTTTAGTGTTTAGAGAACAACAAGGATAGGTGATGATAATCGTTTGCAATAAAATTGGGAGGAAAGAAATAACCGCTTGAACTATTCCTGTCACCCTCACCAAGTCTTGTAATTAAAATAATATCAAAACTGAAGTACATCAAATTATCAATATCATTTAAGGTCAATTTACACCCCCGCTCTGAATAATCCTACAATTCTAGCCTTGTCAAATAACTTCAAATCTCCAATAGAGGTCAATAAGTCATTACGTATGCCTAGTGATGTCATGGGATACTTAAACTATGACATATGAATATATGATCTATACTGGTACACATTTTGACAGATAATATACCAAGTTTTATTAAATGCTATCACTTCTTTATTACTATTAAAATAGGAACTAAGTAGTGGTGGTCTCTACTTGTTAATTTAATTTATTTAATTTGTTTGGACCATTACACTTTTTGTGGTTTAATTTTTAAGAAATTATCATAAATAATCATTAATCTATAAAAATTAAATGGATTAATGTTATACTAACCCTTAAGGCTACAAATAAGTATCAATATATTAGCTTGTTTGATATTTCATTTAGGAATGCATGATAAAAACACACGTAAATTAATGTATTAGTGAAAATATTTTATTAATCCTTTCCTATTTTAACTTCTTAATTAATAATATTTTTCCAAAAAATTATAGTTACATGGAATCTTGTTAGATTGTCTTAAAATAACACAAAGTTTCATATGTGTCTGGCGTGTGGCAAGGGTTACTCGATCAGTTAGAGGTTATCCGGTCAGGGGTTACTACCAGTGGTTACCCAGTCAATGGTTGGGTGTGTGTCAGCTTACCACACGTTGTGGTTGGCCAAAAAAAAAAACATTGTTAAATTAATGTTTCAATAAAACTTCACTTAATTTTAATAATTTTGCATAAATGGAGTTGAAGATATATATTTACGTTTTTACCATATGTTTTCGAGATTGTAAACAGTCAACTTGAACAAACAAAAAAAGAACAAGGAAAGTATAGGTGTAGAATACTCCAATGAAATACTTCAATGAAGTTGTAACAAAAAAAGAACAAAGGAAGTACATGTGTATAATACTCCAATGAAGTTGTAACAAAAAAGAAAAAAGAAAGTATAGGAGTAGATTATTAGAGTTGTGAGATCCACTTACGTAAAAGGAACTTTAGGGTGAAGATTTTTATCAACGAAAAAAATGAATCACACATCAGAGTTTTATAAATTTAAGGCAGTGGATGAAGGAGTGAAAAATGTATCTAGTTCTGTACATTCCTAGGATCACTAAACACTCAACGTTCAACATATCCTGAAATTGTCTAGTAATTTGGATTAGTATTTAAACATTATTTTGGTTCATATTTGCACCGATAAATTAGATGCAAAATCAATGTACGTACTCCGGAATTGTAATCCAAATGTTTAGAGGTAAAGATCGGAATGATTCTATTCGGTCCAGCCCATTCGAACTGCTTAGACTGGTTTTTGAAAAGCCCTAAATCACTATTCTGAATTCATAGTTGGTATACACTAGACCCTAGTGTAGGTAGCCCAACCTACACTCCCTCTAAACGCAGCGTTTAGAGTTACTACCCACACCCCCTCCACTAACCCACAATAATTACCCACTCCCCACAATAACCACAGTAACTGCATAACTAACTTCCCCTACCCCACATATATATACATAAAAAAAAAAAAAAAAAAATCAATTTCAAATCATTTTCTCTCTCTAAACACCATCTTCTTCATTTCTCTAGAGTTTCTCTCTCATCAAACCCAACGAATCGGAACAAATTTCAATTTAAATCACTGAAAAATTGCTTCAAAATACTCCAAAATTGCTTCAAATGTCTGATATTCGAGAAGAAATTAAACAATCACAACAAAAAGAGTAAGTAATTTCGTTAGTTTTGTTCATTTTTTGAGATTGTAGTGCAATTTTATGTGTGAAACCTTAATTTTGTTCATTTTGTTGCGATTGTAGTGCGATTTTGCAAAAAACCACTACAGAGAAGAACATGAAAGAAGAAACTGCAAAATCGGAGCAAAATGTATCTAAAGAGTAAGTAATTTTGTTCATTTTCTTTCGATGACAATTATAGTGCGATTTTATGTGTGAAACCTAATTTTTGTTCAATTTTTTGCAATTGTAGTATGATTTTGGAGAAAAATACTTCACAGACGAGTAATTTGTTGAAAATTTCTGAAGAAATGTATGAACCCTAACTTTTGTAAAACCTAATTTGTTCATATTCTTGCGATGAAAATTATAGAGCGAATTTATTTGTAAAACCTAATTTTTGTTAAAATTTTTTGCGATTGTAGTAATTGTTCTAAGATTTTACTGAAAATAACTAAAACATTAACAATTTATTAAATAAAACAGAGACGATGATGATGATGTACCTCTTCAGTCAAGAGTAGACAAATTGAAAAAAAACCGCCAAAATGATCCAATTGTAGATCCGGAACTTTTAAAAGATATTGACAAGTCAATTGGTACGGATTTAACAATGTCTCCACTACCAAGGTAATTAGTCATTTACAGAATATATTATGTTCATGTCTAATATGCTAGTTGTATTTGATAAAATTGGTTTTATCTTTGTTTAATATGTTATTTGTATATGATCATATTTGATACTCATAATGTTCATTTATAGATATAGTTATGATCATATATTTATATTTGTTCATATGAGTATTTATTGAGATTTAAAAACAAAAGTACATTTCATTGAAACATCATTGTATATGATCATATTTGATACTCATAATGTTCATTTATAGATATAATTATGATCATATATGTATATTTGTTCATTTGAGTATTCATTGAGATTTAAATAACAAATATACATTTCATTAAATCATCATGCACATATATAAATATGATAATAATCATTTCAGTGATATGCATTCAAACTAATGTCATGTAATTAATTTATAATGTAGTGATGTGCCATTTAGAGTGATACACTTGCTTCAATTTAGAGATGGGAAATCTGAACCATTAACTCTAAAGAAGGTTATAGAACAAAATGAATATGGTAATAGTTATGAAAGATACACTTTAAACAAGTAAGTCTATATGTATAAAATAATTGTTTTTACATTCAATTATTGTACATTGTATATATATACCAAACTTATTAGGTAATTCTTAAAATTTTAGTGAAAAAAAAAAGGTTCGAGTGAAATTTGTTATGTCAAAATCAAGACCACCAGAGACAAATCAAACAATAAGGTATAAAAGCTTTATACAAAATAACTAATTATCTTCTTCATTGTATAAATTAGTTCATACTTTAATATCATATTATATAAAATAATTCTGTTTTTTTTAAGTGAACAAAGTGAGAACATTCCTGCTACTAATGCAACAACTAAGAGTGTGTCTGCTACACATAACACAACTGACAAAGAGAGTAGGGATGAAAGGTATACTAATGATCAATTTTATATAAACAAATGTTCATTTTTATAACAGTATATTTTATGTACAATTTATGTGCATTTTTTATTTAAAGTATTTCTTAATATTGATTTCAGCAAGCAAGAAGAAGTTCAACCAAAAGTGCAAAGCAATCCAGTAAAGAATAGTCTTGGCCAAAAGTAAGAAAACTTAAATGTTCAATTTAGATAGACTATATGTTCATTTGAAAATCAGTACAAAAAAGTTTGCTCATGACCAATAGTAATATAAGTTATATGTTCATTTTTTTATTTACTAATCAAAATTGTAAATTCAAACATATTTTTAATGAAATATCAGAAAACCCAAAGATGATTCAAGAATAACAACATTAAAGGACAAGATGCAAGAAATACATTTAGACATAGAGAGAAACCCAAAGTATGTTTAAATTTAAATAATTGAATTAATTTAATCAATTAATGAATATATTTCAAAGTTAATATCATACATTTACAGAAAGTACAAAGAATCGACAATCAGAATTATGAGAAATCTCAAAAGAATGGAAAAGGCAAGCAAGGAAATCAGGAAAGGTAAATGATCATATTTATTGAATATTTTTGTTTAATAGTCATAAATATCAATTTTAACAATACTATTACTTTTGAAGGTGAAGCAAAAAAGAAAGAAAAAGGGCCAATAGAAGAGAAAACTGTGGAAAAAGGTAAAAATTTTAAAATGTACATTTTTATTACAAAAAATGTTCATATTGGAAAAGCATAATATTAAATATTCAATAAGATTAAAAAAATTAAATTTTAACTAAATAAATTTTAATAGAAGGACAAGAAGGAAAAAAGGGACTGAAAAAGAGAAAAGCCCTAAAGACAAAACTGTGGAAGATGTCTTTCCAAAGACAACAAATGTAGAAGGTAAAAATTTATAAATGTACATTTTTATTACATAAAATGTTCATATTGGATCTACATAATATTGAATGTTCAATAAGATTAAAAAAATATATAAATATTAACTAATTAAATTTTCATAGAAGGACAAGAGGGAAAAAAAGAGCCTGAAAAGGAGAAAATCCCTAAAGAGAAAACAGTG